CTGGGAGCCCAACTTCTCCGGCATGGTCGTGTTCGACTCCAACAGTCGACTCAGGATGCTGAATCACTGACGCCGGACAGTGGTTGAACTTGCCTCGGAAGCTACAGTGCCAGTATGTGATCCCATTCCTTCACCGGTAAACACAATACAAGTAGCCGCGGCTGTCAAACAGTTTCTGCCCCTTCGACGACTTCAAAGGTCATCGACTGGTTGGTCCTCGATGGTTGGCTCTCTCAGAGACGATTTCTCGATTGGCACAGGTAACTCATATTGGATACTGGATGGAGGACTACTTGAGGCAGAGAATATTGTAACTTCCCTCACGGTGGTTAGCTCTGTTAATAAAAAACCCGCACGTAAAAAACCTAGTCTTTTAAGAAACTCCTGGCAGAAATTTGACATTCAAATTATGCCGACAATAAATCCATACTTTTGGGTTTTGAAGACTGTAGTTTTGTGTTATAAATTTGCAAATATAACTTTAATAACAATATAACTTTCTTTCTCTAAACGGCAAAACTAGCCAGTATAACGATAAAAACCTATACTAGCCAGTAAAGGTTGAGTAAAGTATGAGGCGATCTTTGCTGACGTCATTGTCTACATTCTGCCTCAACCCAGATTTAAAGAATCTCAATATTTCATCTGTGAATTGCGATTTCCTCACAGGTATATTAAAAATATCTTTATTTACATCTTAATCGTTTTCAGAAGTTTCGCAAGCAAAACCTTCAAAAAAGGTTCTATAGGTGGATCGTTAAACCAAAAGGATCGAAATTCTGACCATTTCGTTAGTTCATGCTGATGTTGTTTACTCTCTTTGTTAAAATATTCTAATTTAATACCTTTGAAATGAAAGAGAAAAAATCACACCTATCTTGCGCGCGATAATAATTAGCTGTTATTGTCAAGAAACTCGCAAGTATAAACGATTGAAAAGCAAATAACACTTACCTTATGCGGGCCACTGACGCTTTTATTGTTAAATAAAATTTCAACAACATATCAAATAAGATCACACATGTGCCTTGCGCGTGCGAGCGTGCATCTTAATTATTTTGCGATTACCAGGATAAATGAAATAAATGTTTATGTTTGTTTTAAACATTTTGTGTCATAATTTGTTGGGTACGAATCGACCAGAAGGTTGGGTACGAACTGATCGAAAAGTGGGTACAAAAGGTCTGGGTGCGAAAGATCCATGGGTACGAAACGACTGGATACCCGATCGCTGTTCGCTATTATTTTAAAGCTTTCTAGGCAAAGCAAAATCCGTAAGATAACTTCTTTTCCCTTGACACCACGACTGTATCAAACATTCCAAACCATAGGACAAGAAATACCATGAAGAATACGAGCACTTTGTAATGTTATTCGAGCGATGAGCCGGCGCGAGGGTTTTTAGGCGATGAAGGCCGAAGTCATTGTTTTACCGAAGCGTGATTCTAATTATAAACTGAAGCTAGGATCTAACGACGATTGGTAAAAAAAGGTTTGCATTTTTCTAGGCATTAGCGTTAGAGAAAACCCAAATAAGACACGACTTACCTCTTCTTCTTTCTCGGATCCTTTGTAGTTCGCTTCTCTTTATTGACGACCTCTTCTCAGTCTGTTTTCAGGGGCGTCTTTGTATTTCCTTCTCGCATTGCTCTTCGCTAGATATTCGCCTTTTTACTTATGTCATTTCTTGTTCTCTTTTCGCGTTCCTTTCGCCGTTTTTTTTTCCTTTCCTTTCTTTTTTTTTTTGTGTCCTCTTTAACTTTCTTGAGCGTTTCCCACAATCGCTTTACGTCTTTTACTTCTTGCTTTTTTTGGTCGCCCAGTCTCTTTCTTTTCATCCTATTTTTACTCAAAACCCTCTCTCCACAAGCTTGAACTATAACAATTCCCTCGTGTTGTCAAAGTACAAAAAATACCTAGCCCTGCGGGTATTGTTGCTTAGCGAGTTGATTAGATATTGCAAAATACTGATAATTACTATTCAACTACAACCTCACCAGTATGATTTCCCTCTCAAAACGCGGGTTGCAAATTATTTGCTTACGCGGCTTCACATATTCTAGCCCGCTTGAAGCCCTCGTGCAATGCCTAACCGTGCCCCGGCGGTACGTTACACTGAAGCTCGACACTCAAGTATGCGCACCTCATTTTCATCCGCCGGTGTCTCCTGGCGCACTCTGATGGAGTATCCAAGTTACGCATGCAATTGCGCCTGCGCATTACTTTCTCCCTCGCCCTTCCACTACGTAATGGCTGAGATAATGCCCGTGGTACAGTTGGCGGCGCATGCTGAAATTAGTACCTTGTACGGTCGGTCGTACGGTCGTACGTCCAAATTTTTTCGGCTTGATGGGTTATTAAAATTTTTTCGGCTTTATGAGTTACTTTTATTTCGTATACACCTTTTGCTGTTCATTTACGCAAAATGTACATTCATTTACGTCAACAGTTGAAACTATACGGCAAATATATATTCATTAGCACTTCAATGAAATTCATAAACGCGAACGAACTTTCAATAACGCTATTTGCATATGTATTAACATTCAATAGCATCAACGGATGAACAATTGCACCTTTGGACAATCAAACATAACAAATATACTTTCAATCTCGCGTAATGATTGATCATTAACACCAATAGAAAAATCAATTGCATAGTATGACAATCAATTGCGTATTAGAGACATTCAATAATACAATTTGCATAGAGACGTACATTCAATTGCACCTTCATACAATCGTTTATTCGATATGGTCATTCATTAACGTGAACTGACAAACATGTGTGTAGTAATAACAATCAACTAGGGAAAAAGAAATTTCAAAATTGTTCGATTACAGTGTACTGTAATGTAATGTTTTGTAATTATCCTTCAATTTCTTCATTATTTAAATGCACAATCGAATTATTCATGATGAAAGCCCTTCGTGGGAGAAGTTTATAACCCAAAGGCGCAATAAAAACCCAAAGATGGATCCAAGGGTAATATTTAAGAGTAAGACTAAACCATAAGGCACACATTCAGCATATGAAACAAAAACAGACACAAAATTAAACTTTTAAACACAAATTATTGGTCATCCTTAAATTTACAAAACAGAACGTAACAGCTCCTAAATCGACTCTAAAATTGAAAACCAATTACATTGTTTGTACATTGTGAAGCATAAATATAAATCTTTCCACAGCTTCGTGTTTAATTGAAGCTAAAAATCGAATGCCAAAGCGAATTCTAACATTATTCTCATAGAAATGCAACAAAAACATTTGTCGTGTTACAATATCTTGTACCATACTTCCATCGTTTGGTGACATTTCATCAAGAAATTGAAGGAAGATCAGCCCATTTTCGCCAGCAATCATTTCATCCCAGTTGTAATTGTGGTAGTATAAGTGTTGCACGGCTGATGACCAAGGTGCTGCGTTGTTGTTTTCTTCTAGATTATCGGGTAATCTGTTGGCCAAATCTTCTGACAGTTGAGTCAAAGGTTATCGGTGACAGTTTGGACAAGTAGGCAACCCCTCCGCATTTCCTGTGTTTGAAACCATTGTCGTAAACAGGAATTAATAAGGATGGGTTGCGGCAACACTTTGTGGTTTCATTTGCTTACTTTAAAACAATACACATACCTTAAGACATTTACCATCTAAAAATTCACTAACGCCAATCATTTTCATACTTTTTTTGGAAAACACTCAACAACAACAAGTTGTGATGGAGGGTGACAACATCGCTCTTTTAAGTGTAAAGCTATTCCCTGAGGGTTTTAGATCTTGTGTGAATTTGAATACTCATTAGAATGAAGGAATGAACAACTCTGCTTAATCCATACAGATTCCTTTGCTCAGTTAAAGATTAAAAGATTTTAGTAAATAATATAATTGTTGATTGAATATTTGAGTGCATGTGGATGGAATTTGAGTTATGTACGTGTATGTAAACCAATCGCAACCATTTTTCCAATCGAGAAAACAAAAGGCGAACTTCGCCAAACATGCCCTAACTTGCTGAAACTTGCCCTATTCGTGCAAAAGAAGCCTTTGAATACTACAAAAAACATCACATGCTTAACACGAGTCATCAACACCACCAAAAAAAATCATCATATCCTAAAGACACGAGTCATTTTGAAAGAAAGAATGCGTGAGCTTAAATGGCGAGGCGAAAATATCAAGAAGAGATGAGTTATGAAGAGTTATTAAAGGCTGTAGGGGATATCGAGTCCAAAATGGCCGATCAGATAAGTGACAGGGAATTATTGAGGGCCGTGAAACGAATCGTATCACCGCTCTTTGAATTCGAGTTTCGGACCATGGGGCCACGTAAACGTTGCAAGGAAAATGTGGTTGAAAAACAACGGTTTACAACACGCTTGAAAGAATTACGCCAAACCTCACAAGATGATAATGTCCGCGTTGAAATCATTCATGCTTTAAAACGTGCGATTGCGCTACAAATCCAAAACCAACCAGATATTCAGCCACATCACACGCTTCATTTTAACATGCAGGCTAAAGTCTTCACGCACGCGTTTCAATCCACTACATTTTCAGTGAAAGAGTTTCAACAAGGCATTTAACGAATGCAAACGTATTCGCAAAGTTTAGCGAATAAACTAAACTCTATAGAAAAGTTTAACACATACACCAATTTTGAAACCGAACTTACTTTCATCCGTACCCCATCCGCTAGTAGTGATAGAAGAAAAGAAAGATCCTTAGGAAGAAGAAATGTGGAAGCATTTTTGGAAGCTAAGAGGAGTGTATCCACCTAGGTTTTGCTTAAATTTTTGTCGGATGTTAAAGTCAGGCCTCATTTTTATTTTTAGCGGCCGGCTGCTCCAGAGTAAAGAAATACTTAGTAACATAAAAATAGCAAATATTTTCAAAGACGCGATTTCTTCTAAGAAAAACGGGGAGACCTTTTTCTCAGACGGAAGGTAGAGATGAAAACTAGGAGTTAGAGGGGAACAGCCAAACCAATACCCAGGTGGTAATGCCCACTGCTGATGTGCCCACTGATGACTTTGCCGTAGTCAGTGATAATTCCACTGAGGAAGAGCAGCTAAGCAACTCAGAATTACATTGCAAGTAAGTCTTCCATTAGTGCACAGAGTGAACGTGTTTGGGTGAACGTAATTCTTAAAATTTGCCACTGTTTAAAGAAGGAAAACTCCTGACACACCCTTTTTACACACAAATCTTGCGCTCAAACCAACATGTCCTTTACTTGATGTAAACTTGTTGATGTAACCTGTTATACTGTACTATTATTAACTTATAGTTTCTTATTATCTATTTTTAACTTTTTATTAGTTTTAATCTAGGGCTCCTATTGATAACAGATATACTTTTAAGTATTCTGAAGGGATTACCCTAGTTAAATAAAGGTTTGCTACTGCTACTGCTATGTAACATGTGTAAACAACTAAAATGAAAACATTTTTTTACAGGGCTGTAAAGATAACGAGAGTTGAAACCACTTTGAACGTGTTCACGATTATTTATTTCAGAAAAAGAAGATGGGCTGTATACTAGCGACGTTTTCCTTGATGCACTTTCTGCATTTTGGAACTCTTTTTATGATTTGTGCACTAATGGCAAAGACGAGAGAGTTCCAGTCATCAGGCACGACTTGCAGGTTGCTGAGTGGGAGGCCATAGCCAGAATAACTGTCAAAGGGTATCAACAAGTTGGTTTAATTCCAAGTAAATAAGGCAAAGCCTTTATTACAACAGCCTTTCTCTTTGGCGTAGAAGTTGTAAAAGAATATATTTCGTTGGAATCCTTCCTAGCATACCTCAGTAGTGACGAAAGAGAACTGGTTAACCTCTCTCTGAATAGGAAGTTAGACAAAGAATAGCAAAATGAATGGTTAGATCTTCTGGAACGTTTTAACTAGGAGACTGTTCTCAAAGCAAAACAAGTCAAAGATGTCGTCTTGGAGATTGCCCACAAAGAGGTCATTCAAACTCAAAGATATATTGTAGACAGCTGGAGCACACCGTTGTCAGCATTTCACCGCGAGTTTTCGTCAACAGATTGCCTTCTGGAGATGTATGCACGAGGTAAACCAACCGACAAGAAGATCATCACCTTTCACGCAAACCTTAAGACCTGAGCACATGGGGAGTCCTTATCCTGTTTGAAACACTTTTTTCGGGGGAATGGAAGATGAGAAATTGACAAAGTTCTTAAGATTTTGTACAAGCTCTTATATGGTGTGCGTTGCACAGATCACATCGGTTTCAACAACCTAGAAGGCACGGAAAGGCGACCAGTCGCACATACACCCATAGCAGTGCAGAATCTCCCTGCCACATATCCATCCTTTCCGTTGTTCGGGGAGGAATGGAACAACACATTGTCCTCAGAGTATTGGGTCCTTGACTTTGTTTGAACTCTCACTTAAATCTGCCTACGAGAACTGCCTCATTGCTGTGTATCTCGGAATCCTTGGCAGTCCTAAATCGGGCTGAGTTTGATTGTAATTGGTGTGATTATACCACAAGCGAATTGTTTAATGGATGTTTCAGTTTTATTTAAAGGAAATTACGTTATTACTATCAGTATTACTTCCACTACTCATTTAAACTTAACGAAATTATAATAAAAGGAAGTTTTAGGGATTTTTCGTGTTACCATTTCAGTTATAGCTTCTAGATTTGAAAGGAATTTGAATTGTGACGCTTAATGCATTTACTGCAATAACTATTTATATAGTACTGACTGAAACTGTAGCAAGTGTTGGTAATTTATATAGGGCTTGATGATGTTTGATTTTTAATAATGAAAATAAAGTATTGGAAGTTTATAGAAATGTTATGTTTTAAAAAACCTTGAGTGATAATGAAATGAAAATGATTTATAAAGTTATTGTTTAACTATATATCCAGTCTAATTTTCATATACAAGACTCCGATTCAAGCCTGTGGAAATTTTATATCATTTATTTACATTTTGTGATAACTTTTTGATGATTGCATGAGTTATACTGTGGTGTTAACCTAAAACCTTGATATAAACTTTGATCAGTTTGCTTATCCTCCAGTGTGATTGGTTATGCAATCGATTAAAATGTAAAATGTAAACTGCATTTGACCGTATCCAGACCAGGGGCAGAGGCGGAAAGTGCCTGCGCTGACTTTGAATGTTTATAACTTTTTTCAACATTCAGTCAGATTCTACCAAACTTTGCGAGTTCATCTATAATTTATCTGGGAATAATTTTGTATGAGTTTGCTGTGGAAAAATTTTGAAATCTAAGATGGCAGCTGTTTAGACATAATTAGTTAATTCCCACGTGATATGACGTCATCATCCCAAGTGGCTTAAAGCAAAAGATAGATTTTTTGTCACACTATGTACCCTTTAAGTTTCAATGTCATTGTTGAATATTACGGAAGTTACGAAGGGAGGAGTTAAATTAAAAATAGATACAACTACCATCATTTCATGCAAGCACATCTTATGGAAGGAACTAGGAATATTTTATGAACCATTATGCTCTGCCAATTTCCATGGCATTCTTTACATCTATATGCAATGTAGTGCCTTGTTCAACTGAGACAAACACTGAATTTGTAAATCATCTGCTTTTAATTTGTAAAACCACGTTCAACACACCATTTGGGCGGTACCGATGGAACCAGATGCCATTTGGCGTCTGTTCAGCACCTGAAGTGTGACAGCGCACCATGCACGAGTCTGTGGAGGATCTGGAAGGAGTGGAAATGATAGCAGATGACTTCCTGATTGCCGGATTTGGCATTGGTGACTGAGAGGTAAACAACAATCTCAAAAAGACATGAACACACTTTTCTCAAGAAATGCCGCTTGTGGAAGCTGAAATTGAATCGTGCCAGAGTGAAACAGCACCAGTGAAGCATGAAATTCATGGGTCAGCTATCCACCTCTCAGGGCCTGAGAAGATCCAGACCATATTGCAGATGCCTGAACCTAAGGACATCACTGCATTGAAGAGATTCCTTGGGATGGTGACCTATCTTGCAAAGTTTATTCCTCACCCATCAGAGATGACAGAGCCACTCAGACGCTTAGAAGACAAGAATGTGGAGTTCCAGTGGTTACCACAACACTCCCTTGCAAAGAAAACAATCAAGAAGTCCCTAACGGAGACACCTGTTCTTCGCCATTATGATGTAAACAAGCCAATCACTATCCAATGTGATGCAAGTCAGTCTGGCTTAGGGGCTGAAGTCCATATTCAAAAATGAAATTCACAAGTCACCCAAGCGTCTGCAGCGAATGCGGCTGGCCCTACAAAAGTACAACCTTGAAGTGCAATGCAAGAGAGGTACACTTATGCACATTGCAAATGCACTGAGTCGGGTATATCTGAAGACCACTGATGGAGTGCAGATGAAGTTCTGTAAGATTCATGTACTTGAGACAGTTGATCATGAAGAGCATATTCAAATTGAACCACCGAAACGAGGTGTTTTCCATGAACAAATTGCTGCAGATGGTGATATTCAGGAACTTATCCGTGTTATCAAGCTAGGGTGGCCAGACATGAAAAAATGCCCCCCTGCTGTCCAACCGTATTATGATAAGCGAAACGAGTTGATAAAGTCGCAGGGTCTAGTTGTTCCTGGAAAACAGCTTGTACTACCCACTTCGAAAGGACATGCCAACTCAGCTCCACAGTAGTTACATTGGCATTGGAGAATGTGTCCACTGTGCTCGTGAAATTTTGTACTGGCCAAGAATGAGTGCTGAGATAAGAGACTTTGTTTCTCGTTGTCCAATCTGTGAAACATACCATTCAGCACAGGCTTGCAAGGAGCTTCAACCACATGAACTTCCTTGGCGCTCTTGGCTTTGACTACTGGTCCAATTTCTTTGAAGTAGTTGAGATTCACAGGAGGACAGCACAAGCTGTAATTACCCAGTTTAAGGTGCAGTTTGCCCGACATGGCATTCCTGAAGTGCTGATCAGCAATAATGGTCCTGAATTTGACAACCAGGAATTCAAGAATTTCTCCACAGATTGGCAGTTCGAGCACCAAACTTCAGGTCCAAGATATCCACAAGCGAATGGAAAGGTAGAAAATGCTGTGAAGACCTACAAAGGACTGCTCTTGAAAGCAAAGGAAGACAAACGAGATCCATTATTGGCAATCTTCACTTGGCGCAACACCCCAAGTGAGGGATTCAGCGCCTTACCAGTACAAAGGCTGATGGGTCGGCGCACGCACACCTTGCTACCAACTGCTGAAAAGTTACTCCAGCCAAACAGTAACCTGAAGACCACAGCAAGAAGCCTAGCCGCTAGGAAAAGACTACAGTGCAAGCAGTACTACAGTACTTCATTCCCTTGAAGGTGGGAGAGGCAATCCGAATGAAGCTACCTGGGGAACAGAGATGGAGCTTAGGTTGCTGCTCATGTCTTCTAGACCGACGCTCATGTGAAGTTCAGGTAGAGGGATGATGCTTCCGCAGAAACCACCCCCAGCTGTGCTCCACCCTCAAGCCCTCTCCAGTGCCAAGTAGCAACAATGAAGAGCCGCACCAGACTGAGAATGAAAGCAGATCACCTTTTTGCCAGAGCTTGTACCAGATCAGTGCCAAACCTCACCGGCTCCTAGGATTTAGGAGAATGACACATTGTTCTCAGCACACTCTGTCCCAGACAGCACAGAACCAGTCTCAGTTTTCCTACATAGATGCTCTGGGCGAACTAGATATACCCCCACCTGGCTCGAGGATTATGACTTGTGCTGAACACTTAAACATTGATTTGAGCTCGCCTCTATCCTATTCTATTATTATTTGTTGTTGTTGTTGTTGTCAATTTTGTAAGGGAAAGGAATGTGGTGTGACACGCGTGACTATAGTCATGTGATTAAGAAGTCACACGAACCGTCGTGCCTAATGGCACCTCAGTCGTCACAAACAGAAACCTGAACTGGACATTGAAAAGTTTTGTTCTAGTTTTAACCTGTAGCTCTGTGATTGTTATCGTCATTGAAACTCCACAGCCTCAAGTACTGAAAATTACATGGTATGTCCAGTATGTAGCTGTACATATGAGGAATGATGGATGCCTGCACTGTGAGCAGGACAGAGAATACGAATGTTCTCTAATTGCTGATGGAGGAAGTACTACTGATAATCCAGTTGGTCTTACTTTAGATGAATTAAGAAGTACACGAGTAGCATTGCTCTCAAATTGTGACTCAGTGGAAAGAGCAGCTGGGAATGAAGGCAACATGCCTGGAGGAGCAATGCACCATGCTCAAGACCCTGCCTACTTAGTATCTCCTTCTGCCCTAATCTTTAGGGAACAGGTTTCTCCTCCTGTCCCAGGGACGGGAGAACAGGCTTTGTTAATTGTTATTAAACTAGGCCAATTAGAACTAGGGGCTGGGGTTGGAGTCATTTGTGAAGTTTATTCATTGTTCTGGAAATAATTTTCAATTGCTATGACTAAATGTGCTGGGGGTAACCCGTGATGGGGTAGTAACAAAATTCCTTGCCGCTTCATGCTAAGAAAACCGGAGTTAAGCACCGGCCCCATGAGCCACTTAAGCCCATATAAAGGCCTACTTTACTTTTAGTTACTAGTACATGTTTGTTCGCAATCTTAAATAATCTCAAATTTGCACAGTCCTTGACAGGATGCGGAAGAAGTTTCCCAGTGTTTAAAAGGGGACCTGCCAATTTCAGATCTTGGTCTTGGCACTTCTATATTTAAAGAATTCCTTAAACTGTAATTGGGTTTTGCCTCAGAAATTAGAATATTCAGTTCCTCTGTATTTGAACCATGATAGGATCAGTAGGTCACAACCACCGGCATCTTTACATAACACGACGAGATGGGATTCCATTGCTTCAACTTCTTGATCTCATCAGTTGGAGTGGTCATGGGTAGCTTGTAGACAATCTGTAATGCTCTCATATGAATACGTTCAATATCCTCCCTAAGTTCCAAGGAAACAGAGCCCCAAACAACAATATTATACACAACACTAGGAATAACTGAGTTCAAATAGATTCCAAAATGGACTGAGGTAGGAATTTAATTCGTTTCAGAATAGCCAATTTATTGTTCAACAATTTACAAATATTCTTAATATGATCCTGCCAAGATAACCTATGGTCAATAAAGTTAAGCCAAGACATTTAGATGAAGACTTGAGCTAGATGGTCTTGGTGCCATGTGCTAAAGCTCGTAAGGGGACTATTGGGAATGTTGACTGGTTTGCCACCTCATAGTGCAGGCTTTATAGCTTGCTCGGAGGTATGGCATGGAAAGGAAAGACTTATCGATCCTTACCCTTAACCAGTCAACAAGCAGTTGATTCTGTTTCAGACAAAGTCTGCGTCTGCAACTGAGCCCGCGAACGTCGTTGGTAACTTTTATATGGTCAGTTTTCGGTTCTAATCTACCGACGATTTTGCAGAGGTGAAACAAAAGTCAAATGTTTATGTGGCAGGCCAAAAAAATTTGTTCAGTAGTATTTTTTCATGCGTTTCCTTGGATGGAATGCAAAACTAAATCGAATTTTAAAATAGAGGATTCGCTTGATAATAATATCTGAAGGCGAATTAAATTAAAATGACAAAGTTCAACATTATTTCCCACCTCTAAAAATCAAAGCTTGCGTTAATTAAATGTTAGGGTTAGAGCTTGGAAGTGGATTCAACACTTGAGAAACTGGGGGTGAAAACAATTGGGATGAAAGAACGCTTCTCACGGGAGCTCATGTCTATTAAACCCGTTGTGAATGGTAGATATTCTTCCTTGGCTAAGTTTTTTCCTAACTTATTATCTAATAATAGTTTTAACGTGAGCATTGCCAAGATTAAGCCATCCTTAAGAAGTTTTGGGGAAGGGGGAGGGGGGGTGCAAATATTTGCAGTAGTCTAAATTTTTCTCCATCACCGATATGAGGTATTCTCCTTCATCACACAGAGTATAAAATCACTCCTAGAATTGGAAACTTATCTAATCTCAGAACTGTCAATATCATATTATTGTTTTTTTCCTAGAAACCTTCCGCCCTTTTGATAGTGGCCACAAAAGAAAGGTCAATAGATCAACATTCAAGGATCATGACAGGCTGCTTACGAGAGAAGAAAGAAAGTTACTTAGTTACAAAGAAAAGAGCATTTACAATACAAAGTAGGTACAAATCTAAAAAGTAATGCAACGTCTCTCAAGTGCCATTTTGGCAGTTAAACTAAGGATCATGGTTACATAACTTTTATATTGTGCTTTTATGAAACTGACTTGATTACTGGTAATTTCAAGAACCTCTCGCCACTTGGAACATCACAAAAAGATGAAAAACTAAGATAATAACTAATGTTTTGAGTTGATTTTCTCTTCCAAATTGTTAAAGTAACAATTGATGGTCAACTTAAGTTCTGATGACTTTGTGGTTCTCTGTCTAACAGAAAAAATATAAGTAGATCAAACAGCAGTTTTTTGATAAATAATCTCCTTTATCAGAAAATGATGATAACAAAGGAAGTAGAAAAAAGATGGCCACGTAGTTTGGCCACCAATTTACAGAAATAAGGCAGATGCTATCCAAATAGACAAATTTGTGGCAAAATTGGTCAAAGATGACACTCGTCTTTTTCCTGAGTTTGGATGTGGTAAAGAAGCAGTCCTGGAAACAGTTTTAAATAAAATCAGAGAGCAGAGGCGCCAGCAGAAAGAAAAATACCTTACCAGTAAAGAAGTGCTGTCAACAGACAGTGCATCTAAGTCAACCGAGTCAGCCGAGTCCAGTAGTTGAAATCCTATTCCACCTACTTATACATATCAGATGCAACGTGTGCAGAAAGCGTACAACCTTTATTTTGAAGAAGATGTGGGAATTACAGAAGTTATTACCGCCAATAATTGACTTCCAGTTTTTTTTCTTGATCTTGAGAACCAAAAACTATACTTAAAAGTTAAAAGTAGCCCGTGATAAGACAAAGCAAGGTTAATTTGGTATGTTTTCAAACCTTATTGTGGGATGGGTTTGTAAAACATGGTTTCATGATAACTTTTTAGTTTTAAGTATGGGGGCCAAAAAATGTCCATGTAAGGTCATTGCAAATTCTAGGGGAGGGGGGTGGGTTTGAAGGAAAGTTTGATGTATGAACTGGAATTTCTGGTAGGGTTTGGAGATTCAAACCTAAAACCTTCCTTGAGAGAGGTATGGATATCTCCAAGAGCACCACGCTAATGACAATTTTCTGCTGCCAAGAATGCATTGTTTAAGGTCAGAACGGATAAGGGAACTTGTCACAACGACTTATCCTCACGCCTTGTTGCAGTACACACTGAGTGACTTCTCCCCTGGTGTTTTCCAACCTCAAGAATCAGTAAAACAAATTTAGTAGGTATAAAATTAAGATAAAGAAGGATTTATTTGCCTGTGCTTGGTTATAAAATGTATCATTAAATTGCCATTGGTCTGCTTGCGAAAAAGGGGCCTATCCAATGTTCTCAATTAACATTTAAATGGTCTAGTGGCCTGGTTTGAGTATCTACTGTATGAATATAGCTTTTCTCTTAACGTTTTGCTTATTTTTATCCTAGACATGACTCAGACCACAGCAGATTTAATTGTAATAGTGGCTCTAGGAAAATCATCCTAAAAAGAAGTGAAGATGGATCGATTACGGAAGATGAAAAAAATCAGGGAGCATTTAGAAGGATTTTGTCGTAAAGATTACTTCCTAAATAGAGAACTGTTTGTTTTCCAGAGTTATTGCACCTTAAGGTTTACATAAGCATATCTGGTGTTGTATCCATGAATACTACCTGCATAATGAAAATGGTTTTAGAAGGATCCACTTAGGCAGGCCATTGTGCCATAGATGGAAAAACTTTTAACCAAATTTGTTTATCAATACTACAACCATATCCATCTCTTAAATCTGCAAAGGGCATATACCTTTATATATATTCCTTTTTCTGACTGGTAGTTGTATTAAAGGTTTGAAATTGTTGGTCTCAGTTCCTAGCGATTCAGTGACCATTTTGTTTAATTCATGATGTGTAATAATTCATACACTGTCATACATTACACATTTAAAATACAAATTACTAAAATCACTGAGAAATAGTACAAACGAAGAGCCAGGAAATAAAATTAAGCAAACAATGGATAAAAGAACAATACTTAAAGAAATAGTAACCATGATAATGATAATGATGATAAGGTAGATATTAAGGCAAATGTTCAGAGTGTTGCTCAGAGAAATTGAAGATTTAAAGTTACAATAAGTCTAGAAGGATTTTGTCATAAAGATTAGTTCCTGAATAGACAACTGTTTGTTTTCTAGAGTTATTGTACACTTAAAGTTTACATAAATTTTGTTGGGAAGCATTTCTGGTGATGTGTCCATAAATACTACCTGCATATTGAAAATGATTTCGGAAGGTAAGAATGTCTAGAATGTTGAGCAAATGGAGGGCGCTATCTGTTTGGTTATGAAATATATCAATAACAGTGGTGCAAAACTCCCTCATGGTTGTTCTAAAGTGAGCAATCAATAATTGCTAAGAAGATACACATGTAAAATGCATCTTCTGCTCTTCTTTGTTCACCAGTGTTTCGTTGGCCGTGTCGCTGTCACTTGGGATTGAGATTGACAGAGTATTCTAAGGTTAATCACAATTATTCTCTTGAGGGAAATGGTATGTAAGTTGGCACAACTCTTGCATCCCCAGCTTCTGGATAAGTCATGTAAAATACCATCTTTCTTTCGTTGTATTTTGAACCTCTCAATACCTGGCTAGTTAATGGGTTGATAAAGGATTCTGTTAGATGGGAAGACAGTATTAAAAGGAAAAATGGCAACTTTGCAAATCCTGAAAAGTTTCCTTCAAAAACTAACAGAACTTCTTATAAAGGTTTTTTATAAGTAAATAGTGATTGAACTAAAATATTCTGAAGGATGTGATCTTTTTGGCTGGGTTGAGTGAAGAGTACTGTATGTGACAGTGGGGGCAGACGGCGTGCTATTTGGCAAGGATGACACAGTCACTGCATATTTAGTCTGCTCTCTCAACCTGCTGAACAGAGTACAATGTTGTAATGATAATCATTTACTCCTCGGTGCCAACTGTGAAGAAGATTATCCATTCCTGAAATCTTACTCAAATCACCTGAAGGAAGAAATGGAACAGATTGAAGGGAAGACATTGACCACTTAGAGAGGAGAGCAGGTTGTGTTCAAATTTGAACTGATACCATCTGACAGAAAATGGATGTCATCCCACTCACGAGAACTAAACAATTGTTCAACCTACTTTTCACCTTTTGCCAATGTTAATCAAACAAACAAGGGAACTATTGGTGGTTTTATTGGTGGTTCTAAAGCAACATGGTAACCATGGCAGTACACTGAGAGACTGGCCATTGCAGAGAAAGAGGAAAAGTCGAAGAAAAGACTTAAAGATCCCATGGGCAAACAAAGAAGTCGTATTACTAAATTTATTGCTCAAAACAAGTTGAGACAAGAATTTGTTCCTCTGTTGGGGGGAAGTATGTTGATTTACCCAAGGCGGAGCCTCTACATAACGCTTCTTTCGCTTCTCGCTGAACCACAAAAGAAAGACCTTGTGTAGTCTCCCACACTTGACGTTTCAGGCACTTCAAAACTGCAAGCAGAAGGGAACTGTCTGGAATGTCAGAGACTGTTGTTGCTTCCTTGAGGTGAGTCTGGTTTGTGTCCTGCATTACAACAGAGAGTGCAGCTGAAAAACAGTTCTGCCAAGCATTGATTATGCATTACATTCTCATATGGATTCACGTGGCTTGAATCAAAGTACTTTTGTTGGCATTTTGCCACTTTGATAAAGGAACTTCTGAAGATCAACTCTCTTTCAAAGGGGTCAGTTGTGAAACTTCACACTTTGGCATTTGTTGTAGTCAAATTCAGAGATGCAGTTTCTATTTACTCAAGAGTTGAGGTGCGCATTGAGCAAGTGGAAAAGCTAAAGACCTCATGTCAACACACACCAGGAAGTTTAACATCTGAGGCTTGGGCCTCAATTCAATGCAGGGTAGAGAGGTAAAGCATGTTAAGCTGGCTTAGTATGTGGAAAACAAATGCAATGCCAAAAAGACCTCAAGGTGGTGGACAGTGTTCAGACACAAATTTGTCCACATGGTGTGCCTGAGCGAAAGGGACCCCAACAGCATTGCTCATTGCCAAAAAGAGACTTGGTACTTTATTTAAATATTAAACACTGCGCAAGTTTATATACAAAAAAACATCTTGAAAAATTTATATGTCAAGCCAAGTTTGTCCACATATGATTAAAACCAATGGAACTAATTAAACATACACCTCTGCATCTGTTTGTTCAGTGCTGAGGATGCCGTTCACATTCCAGTATCCTTAATAATATTTAATGATGAGAACTTCACCACCTAACTGTATACCATCAGAGGAGGAAACTTCAAAGGATACCCTCCTTCACTGCAGTTAAGGTCGACCTTCAACAAAAATTTTTCCATACATATTGTGCAGCTTTTCTTTTTACTGCAGGAATTAGATGGACCAAATGTAAGTAGGGCAGGGAAGAAGCTTACCCTAGATCCAGTTGAATGGAAAAGATTAAACCAATTATATTAAATTTCTTTCTTTGATGTTGACACAACTGGAACTGCTGTGGATTGCTGGAAAGCCATTGACAGTTATCTCTGTGACAGAAAGATGGCTGAACAGGCATGCACTAATTAGTATATAATAAAACTGCTGTTTTTTGTTTCAAAACTTCTATTGTTGACTTCTTATTGACTTTGATTATCTACTGTCAAATAAGAAAGGTTATAATGTGAATAAAATATTTGGGTTGTTGTCAGACTTGAAATTTGTGAGTGTTTTATGAAAGACCTTCAAATTATTGACAGGTGCTTGCAATATATGATAATGAACCATAGTCTGTTGAAGCATTTTTGGTTTCAGATGAATTTTCATCCTTGTCATGGCTAGTTCCTATAACTTGACATGCTCTGCAGACAATCAAATCATCATAAGTGATGTGAAATGAAACTGTTTATGTTCCAATACATACACACTGATGAGAGCACTGAATCAGGAGGATGTCACGAGCGCCCGCCTGGCAGCACGTTTTAATACTGATCTCCGGAAAATCTTGGATTTAACTCATTATTTCTACGCAAAATAACCCTGTTGGATGAGAAGTGTTCTCCAGTATGGCAGCCATCTATACGAGCTCCTTCCTAAGGTCTTTATCCTCCTCAATCCAAACTAACAACCGTCTTGCACCAGACTTATGGCAACGCTTGACCTCCCTTGCTCTATCTAGAGTTACGCCTACACGTCGTGGCCTTCGTGGTGGTAACAGGAGGAGACAAGTCCTACCGAGACCCGTTACGGTGCTGGAATCTTCCATGGGACAGCCCTTGTCCAGCTATGGCAGTTTTCTAGCCGACTTCCCAGGCGAAAAGGTAAACCTCAATGGCGAGAGTAATTTACATACTGCTCCGTCTTCCACATTAAATATTCAGATTGACACCTTACAGCGTGTTGGAATAAACAACGGTTCCATTCCGGTGATCAAGCCTCGAAATCGCCTGCGGGACCGGCCTTCTGGTCCCCAGCGCCCCCCGGGCATGCACGGGCGAAACCTTTCACGTTTTGCCCCTACAATTCCATCGAATCAGGGGAAAGAAAACTCAGTGTTTGGCCTTAGTGCACTACTCGCTAACACCATGTCACTAGCACCCAAGATTGACGAGGTTCGTTCTGTTGTCCTGGATCTAAAACCTAATTTAAATAGGCCTAAATAGTCCTCGTGCGTCATGGCGTGCGGACATATCCGATTAAGCTCCAGAAAGTTATACGAAATTATTACTCTTATCTGGCTTATTGGAAGACTAAATGATGTTAAATTAACTGCAAAAGATGGGGATGTATCTACTGAGGATTTTGGTTACCTCTCGAACAAGGTTTGGATAAGTTTTCAGCGACCAAAGTTTATTACTAACACGCCAGCTAAGGGCTTCTTTAGTTTGAGGTTAACAAGGTACTCTAATTCTACATCTACATTTCAATTAAAGCGACTAGCCGAGAGTGGGGATATCAACCCAAACCCAAGTCCAGAGAAGTGTGCATCTTGCAGCAGGACAGTCGCAAAAAACCATCGCAGTCTGCGCTGTTCATCCTGTGATTGTTTAATGCACATCAAATGCGGTAATGTAAGACCATATCAGTTTCTTCAAATATCAGTTTCTTCAAATAATCATATCAGTTTCTTCAAATAATGCCCGGGATGTGACCTATTTTCTGAACTACCATTCTTTAAGTTGGATAATATTGAGCTAGCTAGTGAATTTGAAAATGATGGAAATAATTTACTGGAAGGGAGTAATATTACTGTTTCTGAGGTACATGCTAATTCTCGACATCAAAGCGTTATCCCTGGAGAGTTGCAAGACCACTTGAACAATGCCCTGAACAATGTCCTGATTGCAGAAAGAATTATATACAAAAGAGAGATCTTGATGTGTCATCTTAACATCAATAGTATTCAAAACAAGTTCGAAGAGCTCGCAGGCTTGATAAAAGACTCTAGAACTCAACTTATGATTGTTAGCAAATCTAAAATTGACTCTTCCTACCCAAACAGTCAATTTTCTATACCTGGTTTTGTGCTCTACCGTAACGATAGGAAGAAAGGAGGAGGAGGAATTTTAGCTTACGTATCCTCTGAATTAACATGCAAAAGAATCAAACTTGCCAAGACCTATAAAACCATTGAGCCAATTGTATTGGACATCCACTTCAAAACGAAAAGCATTATAGCAATTGGATTATACAGACCTCCTACAAATTTCACATTACAATATCGTCAACAGCTTGAAGAGGAACTCAATCACATTTGTAATTGGGCTAACCTACTAAGAAGTTCCATCGTAGTGCTTGGTGACTTGAATTTGGATCGTCTTAGACCAACAACTAATGAAGGTAAACTACTTTTAGATCTACAAGAAACACACGAGCTCGATTGCCTCATTTCTAAACCAACAAGAATCCAGAAAACGGGAGATCGAGTTAGTGAGACACTAATAGACGTTATTTTAACTAACGGCCCAAAGGACTTTGCCAAGAGCGATGTTTTTGACCCGGGTCTAAGCGACCACGCCCTAATCTATACTTCCATGAAGGAAAGGGTGGCTAAATGTAAATCAAAAGTTATCAACTTTTGGTCACATAAAAATCTTGATCAGATGCTATTTAAAGAACATTTAGCTTCAGCTCCATGGCATGTGGCTGAAATCTTCGATGACGTCGAGGATCAGTCCGAATTTTTCGGCCTATTGTTAAAGGACATCGTAGACGAACACATGTCTTGCAAGAGAATGCGAGTCAGAGATGGGGACGTAGCTTACATGACTACAGAATGGAAGGAGGCAATCAGAAGAAGGAGGAAAGCACTTAGAAGATTTCACAAAACTAAAGCTCAAGAGGACTGGGAACTTCACAAAAAGTTACAGAATGAAGCCACACGACTTAGACGTAAGTCAATTAAAGACTTTTGGGAGAAGAAGTCCAAGGACCTTGGAAGTAAGCCACATGAATTCTATAAAACATTCATGCCTTTTCTTGGATCAAAAAAGGTTAGGGAATCATCGGACATGAATCTGAAGGTCAATGATTCAATAATCAGCAACAAGTTGGATATCGCAGAGACCATGGCTGATTATTTCTCAACCATTGCAGATAACATTGGTCCTACCAGCGATATTTCAGATTCTGACCTGTCATATCACCGAACTATTCAAGCTATCGTAAACCAACGCATATCTAAGGCTGATTTCAAACCATTTCAATTCAAAGATATAACAGTGCCGGAGGTTCAGAAAATCTTGAAAGACACAAATCACAGGAAAACCTCGGGATGGGATAATATTCCACCCATTGCTTTTAAGATAGCCTTTTCGGAGCTTGCTACACCGTTATGCGCTCTTTATAATCAATGTATCGCCAGCTGTCATTGGCCAAGGAACTGGAAGAAAAGCGAGTGGGTGCCTGTTTATAAAAAGGACGATCGTTTGAACATGGAAAATTACCGTCCTGTAAGAATAGCGATCATGGTAAATAAGACCTTTGAAAAACTTCTTACAAATCAGATTACAGCAGAATTTAATGAACGTTTGAGCGATAGCCTGACAGCATACAGGAAGAGATAAAGTTGTGAAACGGCACTACTAGCATTGACGGAAGACTGGAAAAATGCTCTGGATAATCGAATGAGCGTTGGCCTGTTAAGTACTGACATGAGTAAAGCGTTTGATCGTCTTCATCATTCTCTATTACTTGCTAAACTGGAGGCATATGGCTTTAAAAACGAGAGCATCAAGCTAATGAAATCATATTTTATGGATCGCTATAATAGGCTAAGAATTGGTGGAATTGCAAGCTCCTGGAAAAGGGTCAAGAAAGGATGCCCTCAAGGGTCCTCGTTTGGACCTCTTGGAATTTGGAATTCCTTCAAAAATTGGGATGTATGCTGATGACCATCAGTTCTACGAAATCAACAAGGATATTAATACTATACAAACAAAACTACAGGATACTGCACAAAGAGCTACAAATTGGTACGATACGAACTTTCTCAAAGGGAACTTTGATAAATATGGATCAATGATATTGAAAGGAGGTAGACTAAAGGATGAACAGTTAGAGCTAAATGTTAACGGAACAGCCATTAAATCATATAATTCTATTAAGTTATTGGGTGTAAATATTGATGATAATTTAAATTTTTCTGATCACATAAGTAACATCTGTAAAAAAAGCAGTCAAAGGGTGGGTGTAATTAATAGATTAAGGAAGTTAATCCCAGCCAAGGCTAAATTGCAACTTTTTAAGGCTGCTATTCTGCCTTATTTAACTTACTGTAGTATTGTATGGAATTGTTGCAAAGCTAGTGATTCTAGAAAATTAGAGAGGGTACAAGAACGGGCCCTTAGAGCTGTTTATTGTGATAGCATATCATCATATAGCGACCTCCTTAAGAGGGCTAATTTAAAAACCTTACGTAATAGGCGATTACATGACATAGCTGTGTTAATGTTTAAAGTTAAAAATGATCTGTGCCCTAATAATATCAAGAACCTGTTTGTTATTAATAACAACAAATATAATTTAAGAAACAATGATTTCATTATCCCTAGAGTTAGTACTACGCGCTACGGTAAGCACTCTCTTAGGTACTTAGGTCCAGTAATCTGGTCTAAGTTAGATGGAAAAATAAGAGCACTAAGAACGCTGCAAGAATTTAAAAAACGCTTTACATAAAGTAGATATACAAAGTTTAATCTCTTCGAATAATTGCAAGAACTGTATTTTATGTAAATCTTAAATATTTTAAATATTATCAAGATCATATTATTGTAATTATTATTATCTTATTATCTCATTATATTAAGGTTATTATCTTATTATACAGGGTAGGGTATTATAAACATGGGGTCTACTATTTCGGGGTAGGGTAGTTTTATATGGGAAGAGCTCTTTTATCATATTCCAATAAATTTTTAATGCTTAGTTTTATATAGATTAGATTAGTTTAGTTTAGGTGTCCTTACTTAGTGGGAAACTGCTATCTTATTTGACACGTAAATAAAGTTTATTATTATTATTATTATTATTATTATTATTATTTAGGGTTCTTCACCGAGACGTGGTTAAGAGAGACAATCTGTGATTCACTGCTGCAGATCCCAGGCTACTCATTTATCCATCGTGACTGCACCACAGACCATCACGGCGGTGTTGGCCTCTACATCGAGAATTCTATCAAATTCAAGCACCTAGAAAAACTGTCGGATCCTGACATCGAGGCACTGTGGGTGTGGCTACGAGCCAGCCGACTTCCACGCGGAGTTCCCTGTATCGTTGCGGGTGTCATATACCATCCACACTTCAACAACAGCATCAGAGATGCAGCACTGTGAACTATCTGTCTGCGTCCCTCACTTCTTTGGAAGGAGAGTACCCCGGCTGCGGTTTCGTGTTGTGCGGCGATTTTAACCGCCTAAACACTCGCCGTTTGACCACCCAATTCAAGCTGAAGCAACTAGTAGATAAGCCCACAAGGGCTTACCAAATTTTGGACTTAGTGCTTACTAACCTTCCACAGCTCTACGACTCAAACGCTGTGGAAACCTTTCCCCCCTTTGGCATGTCTGACCACAATGTTGTCTTAGTGAGACCCAAAGCAAGACCCAAGGGCAACGGTTGCAGTATGAGAACCACGGCAAGGCGAGACACACGACCAAGTAGAAAGTTGGAACTCGGATGCTATCTCTCGTCGATTGACTGGTCTCCAGTTAATGGAGATGACTGCGAGGCCAGGTTAAGCATGTTCGTTGACATAATTCAGATTGGTATGGATCACATCATGCCGGTTAAGCACTTCAAGACACACGTTAATGATCATTAATGAATGGATCACCGCAGAGTTTAAAAACCTTATCAAGCTGCGCCAGCAAGCGTTCAACAAGGGAGATAAGGACGCCTTCAGCCGCTACCGCAACATCGTCAACCGCGAGCGGAAATCTCTTCGCGGCAAGTACTTTGCTAACAAAGTTGACCATCTCAAGTCCACCAAGCCCTCTCAGTGGTGGAACGCTGTCAAACGGGTCGCAGGAATGGTCCCCTGCTCCAGATCAGAGTCTTTTCTGTCCAGCTTACATTTGGATGGCGATTTGAGCGAACTTGAAATAGCCAACAAAATTAACTCAGCCTTTCTTGCTCCAATGGAAAACTTCCAGCCATTAAT